GGTCAGGAGAGGTCTGCCGCACCATGTGGTCACCTCTGGGGCAGGCAGGGATCGAACTCATGTGGAAGTGGCTTTAGCTTCTCAGTGCTGTGCTTTAACCCGGAGAAATATTTTTAAAGGACCATTGATCATTTTTTTCTTAGATACTATTTCTGTAGTTTGGTTAAGATACCATCTGAAGGTGATTAAATTCCTATAATTTGCCAAAAAATTAAAATTATGATACTGGTTTTATGTCATAATATTTTTTTTCTATAAACATTCTCATAAGTGAACACATGGATTAAATAGAGATCACATGTCATTGTATTTTTTTCTATAAGCATTCTCTTATCACATGGATTAAATATCAGTATGTAATACAGTTTTCATGGGTATAGTTTAAATATAAATACAAATATAAATTCAAATAACCATAAATTCAAATTGGTTCTTTTTGCCAATTTAATTTAAAATATAATTGCCATTATTAATCACCAGATAAAGTTAATATTCCTTATGTTTGAAGAGTTTAAAGTTGTTTGAATTTTTTCTTGGACCTCTTAGGACTGCTTTCTTTATCTCATTCTTGTTTGAATGAAGGATGTCTTTTGAGAAAATTTTTTCCAAGTGGTGACATCATTGGTATATTTTCAAGTCCCTACAAAACTAAGAATGGTTTTCTTTGCATATGAAAATCTAAGTTCTCTCACTTGCGTAAACATTACCCACTGTCTTCTGGTGTTTAATGTTCAGAAGTTAATACTTCGCCTTCTTTAATTCTGGATTCTTCTTATGATTTACTTCAGAAGTTGGAGGATATGTTCCTGGCCTGACTAGACCACAAAGGGCTGAGAGTGGAGTAGACACTATAGAGATTAGAAACAAGAAGTTTATTGTGCAGTTTGCTCAGAAGGCTCAGAACAGAGAGGAGTAAAAGCAAGTCTAGAAGTTTTTTAGTTGAAAAGAAATTGGGACCTGGTTCCTCTTGGTGTTCTGATTTTGATCCACAAAGACGCAAAGTTTACTTCTTTATGGAAAGGTAAGAGATTGTATTTACTTGCTTTTAGAATATTATCTTGTATGTTAGTAGCTGGAGAAAGTAATTTGATCTTACTGTAGAAAAAATTAAATAGTATAAGGTACTTGTAAATATAAGACAAACTAACAGTGAAAGACTAAAAATTTCTTGTCAACAAATTCCAGTTGTTCCAAGCCTTACAGATCCAGGAGGGTAGAAGCAGGGCTCACGGCATCGTGCTGCTGTTTGACAGTGTGGTATCGATGGGAACTTTGGTTAGTCCCACACACCGCACACAGAATGTTTGGATTTGCATGCCTCCTTCTCACCAGTAAGGCAGAGACAAGTTATGCTCAAGTTTCCCTCACTTATACCTACAGAGGTTACCCTTCTTAAAAAAAATTAAAAAGGAAAATTAATCTTCAGTGCTTGTTCATATGCGCCTTCTCCCCAGAATGGGGAGGTAAGAGAGTTTCATTGGAGGGGTGCTTTTAAGTTTTACATCGGCCGGTGGTTATATTTATGATCACTTTGCGGTTCCTAGCAGGAGAGCTGCAAGAACTCATTACCCTTTACTCTGCTTCTTTATGGAGGGCAAAATAAGATCAAAATTCCCATTTTTCTGTTTTTCCTTGTGATTTCTTTCTCTAGTTAACAAGGGGTATCCTACATGAAAATTCCCTGCCCCTCCCACCAACTGATTAGAAGTCTCTGGCCACCCTCAGCTAGTTCTCTTGTAAGGTTTACTTCATAAGCAGCAGTGGATGTCTTGAACACAGGTTGCCTTTTTGTAAAGATTAATAAATAAAGCCAAATAAAAAGTTTTAGAGTGGTATGAACGAAATTTTTTTTAAAGACTTATTCACACAAGAACTGGGGTTAGGCCAGAGAAACAGGAGGTGAGGGGGAGTCACGAGACAGTGGGGAGCAGAACAGGCAGATCTACTGAAACACACTGCTGAGGGCAGTGGGGGATGGTGGTGAAAGAGGCACCATAGATGGGTCCGCCCCCTGGCAAGGGCTCAAACTCAGGCTGGCAAGGTGAGAGTGCCCAGACTTAACTGCATCCAGTCACCTAGGGATGGGTATTTAGGTTTTCAGGTGTCGGCTGCTGTGAACAGTGCTGCAGTGGACATAGGGTGTCCACTCTCTTTGCCGCAGTATCTTGTTTTCTTTGGATAAGTAGCCACACATCATACATGGTCTTAATTTTTTTTTTGTCCTCTGGTGGTTATACCAACTTACGTTACCACCAACAGTGCACAGGGGCTCCCTCTTTTCCTGGTCTCACCAATACTTTGTTCTTGTGTTTTTGATGCCAGCCCTCTGACAGGTGCGAGAGGATAGCTCACTGTTAGTCTGATTTGCATTTCCTTGGTGATTAGTGATAAGCATCTTTTCATGTCTTCCTTAGAAAATTGCACATTTTTAAGATTGTCCTTTCGTGGCCGAGTGTATGCAACTCTTTATACACTTTGGCAGTTAATCCCTTGTCAAATATGATTTCTCTCCTACCATTCACTAGCGTGCCTTTTCAGTTTGATTCTTTCACTGTGCGGCCTTTTAGTTTGATAGAGCCACGTTTACTTTTGCTTTGTTTTCCCTTGCTTTTAGATAAAAAAAAAAAAAAAAAGCCAAGAAGCTTACTGTCTACATTTTCTTCCTTTCGTTTTGTATTTTTAAAAAAGATTTATGTATGCAGAACTGGGGTACGGGCAGAGGTGTGGGGGTTAAGATGTTTCACTGGAGACAGTAGGGAGCAGAACAGGCAGGTGGACCTAAGTACACTGCTGAGGGGAGCAGCGGGCGGGTCCGTAGAGGTCTGCTGCGCCATGTGGGTCAGCTTCCTGGCTGGGGATCAAACTCTTGGTGCAGTGGCCACAGGTAGCGTCACAGTACTGTGATGTAACCCTTTGCGCCACCGGGAAGAGCCAGTCTTTCCATTTCTTTGTCTTCAATCTTAAAATTCATTTTAAGAGTTTTCAAGTATGTATCTTTCCTTTCTTGTTTAAATTTATTCCTAGGTATTTTATTCTTGACACAATTATGTATTGGATTGCTGCCTTCTGTTAGTGTGTATAAAAAGTACAACATATTTTGCACATTGCTTTTGTGCCCTGCAACCTTACTGAGTTTATTAGTACTAACAATGTATATTGCTATTTGTGATTGCGATTGTAGAAGAAAACTACTCTCCCTTGGGTAGTGCCACTATCAAAGACAGTGCTTGGCTTGATGGCTCATCGGTCAAGAAAGTGTAAAGCAGTTGCTTTCTGTTCATCGAACTGGAACCTGAGACACTATTGGCCTATTCATCTCTAGCTAAAAAAAGTACTTGGTTTATTTGGGCAAAATGTGATCGACTTGGTTGCTTTTCAAAACATCCAACATAAATCTTTCCTTTGTATAATAGTGTAGTGAAAAAAGTTCTGAACACTGGATTTGGTTGCACATAGTGGTCTTCTTACAAGCAGAGCAGCTTGTTTTACCTAATTTAGGAGGTAGCACCTGACTCATAAGCATAGAACTTAAATGTTCCCTCCTTACTGATTGCAGTTCATCTCAGCTGAGGAATCGTTCCCCATAGCCAGTTTCTTAAAACCTGTTATTTCACTCAACTGAATTTGGTTTCTTTGCTACCCCTGTAACCCTCACACCCTAGTCTGAATATCGTGTTCTCCCTGATTTGAATTTCACAGGTCATGCCTGTGAATATAAGCTTGCCAAGTTTGTATAATCAACTTTTTTTTTACAGAGCTAAAGCAAGTCACAAATATATATATACACAGCTGATAGGGTTTGGGATTCAGCTGAAGAGCACCACTAAAAAACTGACTTATGTCTTTCTTAGAGTTACGGCGAGCAGTAAGAAGCAGTGTGTGGAAAAAGGAAACAGTTGCTCACGAGCACAAGTATGGGCCAGAAGAAAATATAGATGACGACATGTACCGGAAGATTTGCACTGTATGTGGCCATGAATTGACATATGAGAAAATGTGATCATAGTTAAGTGATCTATTTTATAGTTTTTTATACTTAAATAAAGAAAATTTAGATTGGTCATGTTCAAAATTCTCCAGATGTAAATTCTTTGTAGATGGATGGAAACAAGTAAATGCTCCTCCAACAAGTATGTTATGGTTTAAGAGCAAGTTTCAGTTAAGGTCCACAGTTTAGGGTGTTTCCAAAATGCTGGACTTTATTGTTTTTATTATTTTTAATGACAGAAATGAAGCAGAGTGGTAGAAATGGTTACAAAAGTGGTAGGTTAGAGTGAAAACTGAGAAACAAGATCAAGGCAAACCTCATACCTCTGTGGGAGCGCTTGTAGTAAATGCTCAACGGGGTTCTTACCCCCAGACAGGGGTACCTGATGTCCCTGCACTCCAGGAGCAGGCTGAGATCTTAGATACTCGTCTCCCAAGTCAGGAGGGAACAGGGGGCGCTACACTAGGAGAAGTCTGGGCTAACAGTGACAATATGGGAGTCTGAGCCTGTTTCTGGTGTCCTTGACTACTAGAGGCCCCACGTCAGGCAACACTTGGCTCATGTTGGACTAAAGTAGAAAGCAGCTGTGCTGTGATGAAAGAAGGGACTGGTGCTACGTTATGCAGATGACTGCTGTCACTCACTGAGCACCTGCCATGAATAGAAGTCCCTTAGCGGTGTTCTTGTTTAGTCCTGGGAGGCAAGACAAACTGCTGTGTGCTCACATAGTAGCACTTCTTAAAGGAAGTGACAAATGACAGCGTCACATCTCCCAGACAGAAGGATTTTAAGGTAGCTGCTGTTAGCAGGAAAATTTGGCAAAGGATGTCTGGGGCGCTTTTGCTGAAACAAATTCAAGTTGTTCTCAGGCATGACACACAGGAGAAACAGGTAGTTCATACATTTTCACTTTTCTCAACCAGCTGTTGGCTATGCTTGAAGGCAAAAAAAATCAAAACATAAATCAAACCCAAATATGTTCAAAGTTGTTAGGTATTTAGTGTAGAAATGTTTAATGTATTTATCAAGTGTTGATGTATTTATGTGCTAAATGTTACAGACCAGTAAAAACTGATTCTTTGTGGGCAGCAAGACCTTCCTGGGACCAAAAAAGCTTCTGTCTTGATGACAACAGAATAATTAGGGGTTCATGCTACTGAAACAGCATTACTACTAATTCCACTTACTGTGGACCTTGGGTAAGTCACTTCCCAGGCTTGTTTTTATCTTGTCTGTTGGGCATAATCATTTCATAAGACTATTGTGAGGATTAAATATGACAAATCTGTATCACCTGGTACATAACAACCACTTGTTCATGAGACACATTTATCATGAATATCAATTAGATCTGTCTAGTTGAAGTTTGTGTCTATTCACTCTTTACCTTCTGGTGTCCAGATAACCACTGACAGCCAAATCTACTTAGGTTAGCAAGTTCTTTGCTCATCTTTTAGTGAGATTAGTAGTGACTTGTATAATCTACTAATTTATAATACTTCCTGTGAACTGCTTCCTTAGTAATTTCTAAAGGGAAGATTTAGAATCAGGGAAAACAAAGTATATATACATTTTTTTGACAAAAAAGTCAAACTTCATAGTAATTCGTGATTTAATTGCAAGGTATGCTGTGCAGGCATACCTTTTGGGGGCAGGGGTGTGTCTGAGGGATTCCGTAGTGGGGAAAGTAAGTGTCGAATGTTTGTTATAGCACCTTTATTTCTTCAAGGTTCAGTCCCGGTTCAGTTTTCCATATACCTAGTGGCCAGACTGGTACAGACCTTGGCCACAGCAGTGAAGAGTTAGAAGCACCTGTTCATCGAGAGGTTTCAAGAAAAAGGAAATGGAGATCTAGAAATCTAGGAGACCTAGAAATCAAATTCTTCTACATTTGAGTCAAGCAAATTCCTCTAGATTTGGGTCAAGCAAGGTTAACTAGCCAGACTTGCAGTCTATTATGAAATGTTGTTAATTCAGATGATGCTACTAAAGTGTTAAATGATTATCCTTTGTTCTAACAGGAAACATTTCTAACTAATTACATAGTCTGGGAAGAAAATTTAGCTAAGAACCTGGGCTTTTGTCTCCTTTCTGCTAGTGTCTTGCCATGAAAGCTTAATCTTGTGAATTATTTCTTAAATGGGGCACTATTTAAAATTCCTAGGAAGGTCCCATCTACCAAGAAGATTATGTCCTGTACCCACTAGACATATGGTTAAAGCAAAGTGACCATGTAGTGATATGGAAAGTGCTTAATGCACATAAATTTATAGTATAAAAATCATGTACAAATGCACAGAAATACTCTGTTGTGGGATTATAATTTTTTTCTAAGGCTTAATAAAAGAGGTTAAAATTGACAGAAATTTGGAAAGTCAGAATCCCATATACCTGTATATTACTTCATAGTGTGCTCATGTTGTTTTTAAACTTCAAGATAAATAAGAAAATGGCTCAGGAATTAGCAGTTACTTGGACCAGGTTCTATAGAAACCAACTTTAACCCACACCTAATTCCATGCATAGTTTTACCCATAATCTATGGGTAAACTATTACTTCTAGCTCCACTTTAGCATGTGACTCTCTCTGTGTGACCTCTTTCTAGAACTTGTTTCAGAGAGGAGAGGAAAGGAGCAGATACTTTAAGGTTCCCAAACTGGTCATCACCTGGGGAACCTTAAGAACTACTACTGATGTCTGTCTGCCAGAGATTGTGGTTGAATTAAATAAGTTTCACAGGTACTTAAGTGATTTCTGCTCAAACTGGGGAACAGCTAGTCTAAATAGTACTTTTAAAATAACAAATAGTATCTTAAAGCAGTACTGATAAACATGTGAAGAGGAAACTTTAAATGGAGCTAAGTACATCCTTAGCATCCTTATTTCAGTAAGAAATCAGTAATTTTAAAACAGATCGAGATGAGAAATCACGAAATACCAAAGTTTAAAAAACATATTTTTTAAGTTTTATTTCAGCCATGTCAGGTTGTCCATTAACTGTGAAAAGGTATGCTACTTGGTAATAAACCCATCCGTTCTATAGATACTACTATGGGAGCTTGACTCTAGTGTCTCACATCTCAAGTCAGTTACTTTGGGCCTTAAGGAGAACGCGCAAAAAAGTTGTATCTGTATATAAACATCTTATGTTCATTGTCATTGTCACATTATTGTCATTAGGGAAGATTTGCTTTTTCAGGGCCAATTAAGGTAATCAACGCCATATTCTTACTGTCCTCCTTCCCTTCGTTTCCTTTAATAAGAAAAAGGATACTACAAGAAAGCAAGCATTCAAACCATTGAAAATAAGACATTATTCTTAACACAAGGGGGGTGGGGGGAATAACCCTTAGGCCTGTAGGGCACAGAACTGCTGGAACACAGCCAAGATATGAGGGTCCAATTCAGCAGTGAAGAGCAGGTTCTCCAGGGTCACCATGTACTGCTGGATTATTTGGTGATGCTGTAGACACAGAAAAGGAGATGCTCAGAAACCAGGAAGACGTTCTTGCGGAGTAGTTCCCCTGGCAGTTCCCCACCATCATGGATACCGGTAATGCTAAGGGGAGGGGAGTGTGGAGCAGTCCTACTGCAAGGATGGCCTCGGCACTAGGGAAGCGTAGAGGGCAAACATGACGGCTGGCAACTGCAGCTCTAAACAGTGTCTATGTAACCAGAATTCAGGATGCAAGGCAACTGTGGCAGAACTTGCTGCGACACTATCTGAGCTCGGAACTGGGTCTCCCCAGTGAGGACAAAGTAGAGTGTGACCTAAGCAGTAGCTCATATAGGAGTGGGGGCATGTTTCTAATAGGGATTCAGGAACTATTTCCTGTTTTTGGTTATAGCTTAAGAATTCTTTACAAGAGAAAAATAGAGAATTAGCCAGTGACCTATCATGTGATTCACAAAATAAACCTCATCTGTTTAAGAAAGATCATCTGGATTGTATTTAAATGGCCTATAGGTGCACACTTTGCCAAATAAAAATTTGGAAATTTGGAGGCAGAGTACTTTCATGACTTCTGTCTAGAACCCTCAGAGTTTTAAGGACCGTCATAAATCCAATTACTGTATCTTTAGCACTTTCTTCTCTACCTTGGTCTTTGCCAAGGATCACAAAGCCAATTTAAGCCTAAATAGACTGATGTGAACAAAGATGAACTAAAGGGGCTTACAGGTACTATATAACCTGACAAATCTAATTTGAGAACAGTGAGGTTTATTTTTGATCAGAGTTTGCCACAAACCTGTAAAAAGATCTGCTGGAGCCTCTCTATACAGTTCTTGTACCATGGTGTTAATACACTGGTCCCGTCAGTTTCACATCTTACTAAGTGCTCAGTCAAGATCATGATGAACCGCTGGGAAAGGAGGTGTAAATTAAAAGGCATTTGAAGAAATCACATTATTGATGGGAGACCTCAAAGATACTGTTTGTCCCAACTTTTTCTGTTGACCTGTTTAACACTTAAGTCTAGAAAGGTTATGTGAATTGTATATCCTTTCTAGTATATCCTTTCTAGTAATTCATGAAAACCTTTAATGCTGAATTACCCTTTAATGCTGAATTACTTAGAACAAATTCTAGGAAAAGATGACTAGCCTAAGGACATAATCAGAAAGTTAATAGGAATCCACACCCATGGTGGGAGGGTCAATGGGTTTTCTTTGTTAACAGGCTTTTACACTACAGGTAGGTTAAAGAGCCACCCTCCTGAGGGCTTCCCTGATGGCCTAGGGGGTTAGAGCTTAGAGCTTAGCGCTATCATGGCAGTAGACCGCCACTGCCTGAGTTCGAGCCCCGGCTCAGGGAGCTGACCCACATAAGGGGCAGCAGTCTTCCCTGGCTGCTCCACCCTAGTGGTGTCTCAGTAAGTCTGTGCCTTCCTTCCCCTGCCCCATTCCCTTTCTCCCACTCCCCTCCCTCTCCC